GATTTTTGGAAAGAATGAACGACAAGCTAGGGAACAGCGGGAGAATGGGAAGGGAATATATGGTTTTCAGCTGCTGAAAAGGTTAATGTAACTCCATTTGGGAATGAAGAGGTTAATGCAACTTCATTTGGAAATGAAAAGGCTAATGTAAACTCCCTGCTCCCCTCCTGGGCAAGGTATCAGAAGGAGACTGGCTCCCTCCCTTGCTTCTAGGCAAGGACAATTAGCTCAGAAGAGCCAAACTGTCTGGAACAAACAAGTTCCACCCCCCCCCCCAAGGTGACCAGACGTCCTGCTTTTGGTGGGACAGTCCCAATTTTTAACAATTTGTCCCATGTCCTGTGGCATTTTTAAAAAGTCCCGATTTTTGGAAAGAATGCACAACAAGCCAGGGGAACAGGAAGGGAATATACCGTTTTTCAGCTGCCATGTGGCTATTTCACCAGGATGTGAGTTTTATATTATTTTTGTTAATTTTATAATGTTAAACTTTAATAATAACAAATAATTGTTGAGAACTGATTATCTAGAACTACTCATCAAAGTTTGCATTGTTGTCAGGCCCCCCCAGGCCCCACCCCCGTCAATGGTGTCTCACTTTACCAATGTTAAAATCTGGTCACCTTAGTTAAGAAGTGACAACTTGTGCCTATCTTACTCCACTCTAGAGGGCAATTAATTAACTACAGATGCTCCTCAAATTATGGTGGAATTATGTTCTGATAAATTTCTAAGTTGAAAATACTGTCAAAATTCATTTATTACACCTAATTTACCTATCATCACAGCTTAGCCTATCCTGCCTTAAACACGTTCTGAATACTTAGACTAGCCTACTCTGGGTAAATTCATCTAACGTAAAGCCTATTTTATAATAAAGTGCTGAATAGTTCATGTAATTTATTGAATAATGAGCTGAAAGTGAAGAAAAAAAGGAGGGTTATATGAGCATCCAAAGTATGGTTTCTACTGAATGTAAAATACTTTTCTTTGTAGTTTTTCTAAAGTTACACATTCAGTTTTAAAAATGGTTATTCATATCTTCTCTTTTGCTTTGTCAGTTTTATGTTATGTTTTTAATTAATTTATTTCTTTTTATAGTTTATTTTTTTGAGATGAGATCTTAGTCTGTCACCCAGACTGCAGTGCAATGGCAGGATTCATAGATCACCGCAGCCTTGAACCCCATAGGTCTATCTCCTGCTTCAATCTCCCAAGTAGCTAGGCCTACCAGCAGGAGTAGGCCTAAATAATTTTTCATAGAGACAGGGTCTTGCTATGTTGCCCAGGCTGATCTTGATCTGGTCTCAAACTCCTGGCCTCAAGTAATCTTCTGGCCTGGGCTTGCCAAAGTGCTGAGATTAACAGGTGTGAGTCATTGTGCCTGGTGCTATTTTTTAAAAATATTTTGTCTACTACATCTAAGTTGGCATAAAGCAGTTTGTAATATTGCCTTACTATCTTTTTAAAGTTGGTAACATCTGTTGTGATACCTTTCAGTTTCTGATATTGTTAATTTGTGCTTTCTTTTTTTTTCCTACCAATTATTTAGGAGTTTACCAATTTTATTACTCTCAGAGAACCAACTTTTGAATATTTCATGGATTTTGCCCTTTCTTCACATCAGTGTGTTCTGGAGTCCTTCCATGTTAATACATATGGATCTACCTCATTTTTTAAATTGCTGTAGTATTCCATATTTTGAAGGTGGCAAGATTTATTTACTCATAAGCATTCTTATTAATTTCTTCCTTTCTTTTGGCTATTAGAATACCAAAGTAAACACCCTTTTCATGTTTCTATGTGTACATAAGTCAAGACCCTCAAAAATTAAATGCTGGGCCACAGGGTACATTAGTTTTACAGTTTAAACTGTTTTCCAAATAGCTGTACTAATCTGTATCAACTGGGTAGAAACATTCCTCAATGATCCAGGTTTGCGCCAATATTTAGCAATCTCAGCCTTTTTCATTGATGTCGTCATGGCTTGAATTTGCATTTCACAGGTAACTTATGAATCTGAGGATCTTGTCGTTCATGGCTTGAGAGTTTTCTCCTCTGCAAAGGATTCTGTTAACCTACTTTCCATTTTGTTTTTGTTCATTGTTTTAAAAATTCAAGATATTAAACCTTTGTTCCTTAAAATGTTCAAAATAGATTTCCTAGTCTGTTCTATATTTTGTACTTATTCTACCTCTTTCCACACAGATGTTTTAAATTTTGAGGTGGTTAAATTAATCACTCTTTTATGGCCTGGCATTTGTCTCTTGCTGAAGAAGCCCTTCTATCTGGTTCAAGTTCAGTTAACACACAGTGGTTAGTCTCTTACCTCTGGAGGACAGCTCTACCAGTAAGTTCTAGAATCCAGCCCCTGAGAGATCATTCTCCACATCATCCTTCCTCCACTTAACTATGGTGGAGTTCTCACATCCTCATGTTTTATTCTAGACCAGCCATGGCACCCTGGTGTGCTATGAGAGGATCTTAAGTGTGCTGTGAAAAGTTTTAAAGATCATTAATTATTTTTGAAAGAAGTGCAAAGTGCACTAAGTATATTAACTTTTTTTTTGAGACAGAGCCTCAAGCTGTCCCCCTGGGTAGAGTGCTATGACATCACAGCTCACAGCAACCTCTAACTCCTGGGCTCAAGTGAGTCTCCTGCCTCTGCCTCCCAAGTAGCTGGGACCACAGGCACCCACCACAATGTCTGGCTATTTTTTGGTTGCAGCCGTCATTGTTGTCTGGCGGGCCCACGCTGGATTCTTACCCGCCACCTTAGGTGTATGTGGCTGGCGCCTTAGCCACTTAAGCCACAGGCGCCAAGCCTTAACTTTTTAACTTTTTTTACCAACATAATTTAAATGTGCCGCAGAAGTTCAACTAGGTTCAAGTGTGCTATAAGATAAAAAAGAATCTCTGCTCTAGGCTTTCATGTCTAGACTTTCATATCAATGCCCCCTTCCACTCTTGAAAACAACTTGGAACCACGGAATGTTAGAAAGGACCTTGGGAGTTATCTAATCTCAAACTCTCATTTTTACAGATGAGGCTTATAAAATATAAATCTTTCTGTTCAATACAGGCGCCATGGGCTAGTGGCTTTTGAATTTTATGCTAATTAAAATTCAAAATTCTGTCACACTAGCCAAATTTCAAATGCTCTACAGCCACCTGTAGCTAATGGCTACTCTATTTGATAGTGTGGGTCTAGAACATTTCTACACTGCAGAACATTCTAGTAGACAGGGCTGTTCTCTAGAGTTGTCTGCTGACTGGCAGTAGGAACACAGGCATTACTTAGAAACAGAGATCTCAGGTCCCACTCCAGACCTCCAGGGTAGAAAATTTTAATTTAACAAGATATGCAGGAAGTTTGCGTGCATATTAGAGTCTAAGAAGCCCTAAAATCATGTTCTGTTTTTTTCAAAATCATATAGCTGATTGTTCAGGCCTTTCCTATGACCCAAGTACCACTTTCCCTTTTCCTGTGTCTTTCCTATTATCTCAGTACCACCAAGCTGGGACTATGTTCCAGGCAGTAGAGTCCCCAGCAACCAAGATAACCATTCAATATAGACGGAATGCTCCCAGGCTGGATGTGCTCAGAAAGGTGGAGATTGTACCGGATCAGTTTCAGCAGCCATATTACAAGTCTCTGGCGACACCAGTAATCCCTGTAAACTTTTTACATGTACTAGTCTTCCCTAAACTATTTTATGAATTGGACCAAATACAAAAAAATACAAGGTGGCCATAGTTTACTATTTTAAATTGCACACGAACTTTATAGCCACCTTGTATTTATTAGCTATAGCTATTACTATGCCCAAGGCATAGATGTTGCTGTTGCTGTGAGCTATGACTCCAGGGCACTCTACCGAGGGCAAGATAGTAAGACTCTGTCTCAAAAAAAAAAAAAAAAAAGCCAACCTTGAATGCAGTAAAGTTGATTATGAGAGGCTTTTACACCTCTAAGTCACAAAAGACCCATCCTTATCCTAGAGGTACTTTACTGAGTATCTTTTCAAATACACTTCCAAGTATTCCAGTGTAGTTGGAAGGATACTCAATGAAATCCATTAAAAATTGATACAATTACACAAACCTGAGAAGTTGAATGCTAAATGTACATGTGTAATAGAAACGGGTTTACATGGGGGCTCAGAGGAATGAAAACAAGGCTGCAGGGAGGGAGGGGAGTCAGGAAAGGAGAGCAATGAGCTGAGTCTAAAATAAAGGGTAATGTATTTTTGTAGGTTCCATAAAGACAGAAGCCCTATTTCAACCCATTGTTTCCCAGTGCCTGGAAGAGAGTGGGCACAAGTAGCCACACACTAAATATCAATGGATGAACGGTAGGGAGTGGTATAATTCCAAAAGCAGGCTGTATCTGATGGCAAAAAACTTGCAACCCGGTCAAGAAACATTGACATTAACATTAGTAAGAACCCCCAAAACCTAAACACCAACTCTTTTCACCCTCTCATGTATATAGAGCTAGATGGGAAAGTGGTTGCTGGTTCTGGCCATTAACCCAGGGCCTAGAGTAGTGCCCTGCATGTCAGAGATCAATTGACTGCAGGATCCTGTGAGTCGCCCTCTCCCCTCGGCCACTCACCGCCGGGAAAGGCTGGAGGAAGGCCAAACAGCACCTGGATAATGGTGCTTCCATTACCACTGCAGCATCTCAGACAGGCTCTTAAACAGGGCAGGGGCACGTCTCAGTCTCCACGGTACTATCAGGTGCCTGCTCAGTGCCCAGCACCTGACAGCCAACATCAACAGGATGATGCATTAATACGGTCATTATTTAAATTAGTTACTACTCAACTCTCCCGGGTGAGCTCCGCCGGTTCCTCCAGCTTGACAGACCCGCCCAGTGTTCACGCAGGAGCGCGTCAGGCAGCATGGCGCATGCGTGGCTGATGCAGGAGTCATGCTACAGCTAGACATGCGCAGGCGCGCCGCCGCGCCGCCGCGCCCCCGGTCTCGCTAGTGGGCCGACGACGCATGCGCGGGCGGCGCGGTCTTAAGGGCGGCGGCGGCGGGGAGTAACCCAGTCGGCCTGTCAGCCGGCTTGGAGGCGCTTCCTGGCGCTTGCGCGGCTGAGGCCATGGCGGCGGAGGAGGAGGAGGTGGACTCGATAGACACCGAGGAGAGGTAAGTGCGGACGGCAGAGGTGGGAAGCTGCGTGTTTCTCCCGCACGCGCCCTCCGCGCGGCCGGAGCCCGGCTCAGCGGGCGGCACCGAGGACTCGTAACCCTCCCGGCTACGACCGGCCGCTCGCTTGTCCGGCTCCGGCGCGTGGCGCCTGGAGAAGTCCCAGCGCCGCTCTGCTCCGGTAGGCGCCCGAAGTGTCCGAGTCTGACTCCGGCCGCCCTGAGGGCCCGCCCCGTTGTTGTGTAAGCGGCCCCGCGGGGCCGGCGGCGGGGGTGGCCTGGGCGCCGGGACAGCCTCGTTCTCCTCCAGGGGTCCCCCTCCCTGCCCAGCGCGGCGGCGGGCGGGGACCGGCCGAGCCTGCACCTGACTTCGTGGTCCGGGAAATGGCCGGGTCCCTCTGTCCGCTTCTGAGCGCGGCTTCCGTCTTAAGGTACACGCTGTGCTCTGTCCAGCCTCCGGCCAGAACGAAAGTACCACCAGAGCCGGTGCCCCGGAGGCCCGGCAGGAGGGGCGGTGCTTCCTTGGGGGTGTGTTAGGCGGACAACCCAAATTCACCCCAGAAGCGGCGGCAGATTCGGGGTGTCCACGGAGGGAAAAGCCCAGCGTGCGGGAAAGGGTACTTGGGGAAGTGGATGTATGGCTTTGAGTTTCAGAAAACGTTTAACTTACAGGTGCTTTGTAGGATAAAAGGGGACACTTAAGTTATGTCTAACAAGTTCGGAAGGGATCATTCATCTTTTTGCTTCGGAGCTCCGGAGCTCCGGAGCTCCGTTCTCTCCTTTTTTGTGATGAGTTCTGGCTTTACTGGAGAAGCATGTGTGTGTGGCCTGTGCCTCAAGGAGACACAGACATGTAGGAAACTGTGGAAGTTGGAAGGCAGATGTCTAATGGGAATCTTTTTGATATACAGATACACTGAGTTTAAATTGTTTTCTACATATAGCTGACTTTGTACATTTCTTCGTAGACTAGTAGTTAATTAGTGGAAAGAGTGAATTGCCTTATTTTTCAAGGATAGTCATTTATATTGGAAAGGAAACTTCTCTACTTCTACAAGGTATATTTGATATTTTGACATGAGTTCTACAAGGTGCTTAGCAAACATAATCTAAATGATAGGATATGGAGTACCGTGAAGGCAAGGGTATTTTGAAAAATGACAAAGGGGAAGAAATATAAAATATTGGAAACTAGATTCTTCCCTTGAGTTTTGTTTATATGATGAATGGGTCCACAGTTTTGGGTTGTTGGTGAACTTCCTTCTTACTTTGAGATGAGATGCTGCATGCCACGTGAACTCAAGTAGGAACCTAACTGGTACCTTATGTTCCCTTCTGATTTGTCTTTGTTTTCTGCCTTTCTGAGACTACTTTCTGGTAAACTCTTTGGTCTCCATGTTGCTATAGGGCTTAGGAGTATAGGGCAAAACCCTGAAAGAAAGTTTTGGCTTTGGGTGATGGCTGGAAGCAGTGAGGAGCAAATGATAAAAAAAAAATCCTCAGCAGCTGTATTGTCCGTAGACAGAGATAGACCTGGCTGGTGTTCTTGGCAATACACTTGATGTGTTTTCAAAATCCATATGGCCACTCCAACAGCAAGTGGAGAAGACTGACCTCCTTCACTAGTTGGGTGTTCCCTGAAAGTAGTCTTATTAAATGTAAGGTTTACCTTGTATGATAGATAATTACTGTTACCACTTTGCAGTTGGGACTGCCACTGGGAAGGCTCCTAGCACCCTGACGTTAGGCCCAAATAGTAGGCCTAGCTTGGAGCACCCCACGTATCTGGATTTAATCTAAGACACTTTACCCATATTTCTCCTGTCTGTCAGTATGATTAAGTCATGTCAGATACTTGGCTTTTGTTTGAAATCAAATTCCCCATCCTAAGACATTCCAAGTGTAGATAGATGACATTTACAAAGGAAACAATTATAAAAGGGTCATCTGATGGCTTTTTGGAGCATATGATTTGTTTTTTCCTTTGTGGCACTTAGTGAAGACAGGCATTCCAGGGATCCATTTTGCTTTCAACATCCAGCCCTTTCAGTTGCAGTACAGTTGAGAAAGCTAAGTGTGACAAGAGCAGGATGGATTTCTGTGACTTGCTGTAAGTAAAGTTGTCCCAGAGAATGATTGTGTCAGTTGAATTTAGAGGAAAGCTGTCATAGAATTGCTTAGTTGCAGAGTAGACCATAAAAGAAGCCGTTTGCAGTAGCGTGCTGGAGTTGATTTGTACCAACAAGCCATTACTAAATTTGCAGGAATTTTGCCAACTGTTGGCAGCTTGAAACTGGCCATGGTGGGAGTATTTACACCATGGAAATCATCAAATGCTATAAATAAGGTATGAACAAAGGATTTTTCTCTCCCCTTCCTGCCTCAGTCCGTTTGCCAGCACTCTACTGGCTTTACATTAGGAGTTGAATGTAGTTCTTGCTCTTGGAGATGAAAGAGTGGATTTCTCTATCATTTAAAAACTGCAAATGCCTGGGGTATGGTGGCTTGCACCTGTAATCTTAGAACTTTGGGAGATGGAGGTGGGAGGATCCCTTGAGCTCATGAGTTTCATACCTAAGCTAGAGTGAGACCCACCCTGTCTCTACTATAAAAAAGAAGAGAAAATTAGCTGGGCACTGTGGCTGGTAGCTGTAGTCCCAGCTACTTGGGAGGCTGATACAGGAGGATCACTTGAACCCAGGAATTTGAGGTTGCTGTGAGCTAGGCTGCCACCAAGGCACTCTAATCTGGGCAACAAAGTGAGACTCTATCACAAACAAACAAACCCACAAAAACTGCCAAGATCTGTGATGCCTTACTGTTGCCATCTCCCCTTCCCAATCCCTTGCCACTTCTTAGAATTCATGAAACTTTTCAGTGCAACATCCCATTTCTGTACTTATCCTCGGATCATTTTCAGTATTTGATATGTAATGATAGCTACTTCTTTTTGAAACTCTTACTAGGCATTCTAGTTCTTAACAATATTTTGCTTCTTGCCTTACCTAAGACCAACAGTCACTTTTATTAGCTTCTCTTTTTTCTCTATTCTCTACTTGTAGTAGTTCTCCAAGGTTCTAACTTGTTTTTGTTTTTTGTCTTACTTCCTCAAACTCCTTTAAGTATCTTGTCTGTGGAGAGGACTGAGATCTTGTTCTCTTTCCTTTTCTGGGAGGAGCCCTCTCTAGGCTAGTGATGTTTCTAATTGTCAGATGTTTATGCCTAATTCCTTAAATTTCTCGTGTCCAGACCAGGATTTTATTTGCACCTTCCTTCTCCTAAACTACACAATAGAAAAGTCTCCATTCTTCTCCTTGATTTGTGACAATTACTACTTCTGGATGACCAGAATAACACTGTGGCATTATCTCTTGACTCTTCCCCCACTGCAAGCCCCTTTTATTGCCCCTAAATACCAAATTTGTTACCAAGTCCAGTAGCTTCTAAGTGTACAACTTCTCCTTTCCATTCCACGTGTTACCTAAGAGCCACCTGGTTCATACCTTCCTTATTCTTTCCCTTGGATTGTTGACTATTAACAAGTTTGCAAGTTTGTACCATTGCTCATTTCATTAGTTACTTTTCTATTTCCAGGAGGTATAGTCTCCTTTGCCACACAGCCACACACACATTGTGGCTTTATGTGTCCACAGCCTGACTTCAAAGCCCTTTCCAAGTAGTGTAGCTGCTATCTGGCATGAGAGTCTTACTTCCTCTCTGTGCACTGGACTCCAGCCAACCTGTATTTTTCATTATTTCCTCAACAGTTTGCTTTGCCCACTTCCTTTTCCCCCAAAGCTTGGTTACTTTGTTTTCTCTGACCCAAAACATGTTGTGATCTTTCTTTTCTAAAGGTCCACAATATTTTTCTAAATTTTGTGGGCAAGTATACCATTATTTTGTAGTATAGTTTTTTGTTGTCAACTCAGTGAAGACAAGGCTTTTCTTTTACCCAAATATTTGGTAGAGCCTAAAGTGGCTTTACAAATTGTTAAGCTTTACATTTTTGTTAAGTTAAACACTTCAACTATTGTAAATTCATTACACAAATACTAAAATCAGAACTATAGTAGATTATACATTTTGTACTGTGTGACTTAAATTTTTTCATCATGAGATGTTCAGAAAAGTTTGAATTTAAATAAGACAACGATTAGGATCATGGAACTTAATAGAAGTTTGGGAATAGGATTCTGTGTCTCGACCTTGAGCGAACAATCCCGTGCTTCACTGTTTTGCCTGCTCTCCAAAATGCCATTCATGGATCAGCAACTGCTGATAGTCCTGTGACAAAGAACTTGTTAACAAAAGATGGTAAAATGACAAGGATGGCAGCTTAGTAAAAAAAAAAACACTGATTAAAACATTTCAGAATTATGAGTGTTTCTGGATGAGTCTTTGAAGATTTGACCTGTATTACTTAACATGAGCTGCTCTGAAACATTATATTGGTTTAAACGTTGTTTTGACTAAGTGTTAGATTATTAGTCTAACCTCGTGATTCTATAATTCCTACTCCTGATTTTGAGTTACAAGAAAAGTTGTTGTGGAGAGATTTTTTTATTAAAATGATTACTCAGTTTGAGACTAAGGATTTTTAGTTTTGTTCTGTTTATTATCTAGTGGATGAACTTATTTTAGAACTGACATAAAGCAATGCCACTTTGACTCCTTAAGCAGAGTAAACCTGAAAGTATACATGTAGCTTCACACTTATGTTTGATAATGGGGCCGTGGAAGGGCCTGACTCCAGAATAGTTTGTTTCCTCTGTGAGGGAAGGTAAGAAGCAATGGGGAGAAGGGGTTGGAAATATTACCATCACGTGGCTTGTCTAAAACACTGATTCTCTCACTGTGGTCTTTTGAAGAAGGTAATGGGGGGGAGGACCTAAAAGATTGTTGATTAACCTGCTAAAATATATTATAGGGCCCGAGTTGTCTTTGCTCTAATAGTGATAGTTTGAATCATTTAAGTATTACTTATCTAAAATAAAATGCCAT